CTACATAGTAGTTGTTTTTTTTGCTGTATTGTTATTAGTTTCTGTTTGTAAAAATCTGTTATTATGTTGTTATTAGTAGTTATCAATTTATTAGTTGGATCTGTGCGTAATGATTTATACGTGTTTTTGTCATCTAGTAATGATGTTATTTTATTCAAATAATCTCGTTTGTACATCACTACTGTTTTTTGATTTTTATCCGATTAAATAATGACAATATCATTTTTGTGTTTGTTCACTATTTTTTGAGTGTTATCATATGCTTTTAGAATGAATTTTTCTCTATTGTTATTTTTATGTTGATGATTGAAATTTATTAAATTATGAGCTGTTTTGGTTCTAGTGAGTTCCTTCGATTTTTCATTTTTCATGTTTTGAATGCCTTGTTCTACGTCTGCTATGAATTATATTTATTCATAGGTAGAGCAAATTTTTTTCCCAAATTACATCGGTATAGTTAATAAACCAATCTTCATTTAATGTGAAACTAAAGGACAAAAACATGTTGTCTTTAAGTTTATGAATTTTATTATCTAATGTAGTTTTTGATTGTTGAAAAAGGTGATCTGATGGTATTTTTTGTCTGTGCATGAACGTTTTATATTCATCAACGTTAAGAGTGCGTTTTAAATGTAATTCTAATTGGTTTATTGTTTTTCGTAAAGTTTTGATGTTACTATTTTTTTGTGATATTTCGAGTTTTAATAATTTGGATAGGAAGTTGAATTCTAGATTGTGGAAAGCATTTTTGTGTGTATTCAGTTTAAAATTAGTTGATATTTTTTTGATCATATTCAACAAAAATTGTGGTATAATGCCATAATCTTTACAAGTAAGAAGAAATTTAAGATGTTCTATTTGTTTTACTAATTGTTTCTTTTTCCTGCAATATGCTTTCATGTTGCTGTTTGTTTATTTAATTATTTATTTTTATTTAAGTTTATTACGAATACTTGAAAAATCACATTGTGGCAATGCCACATTTATAATTTCTTACTTTCGTTTAAAAAGATCATATGCTGTCTCTATCAGCTGTTTTGGGTAAAACTCAATTTTTTTGCTTTGGTTGTTTTTGTAAACAAAAATGTTTATATTTACAAAATCTGAATATCACCGTTCTCTGGCACTATTTTTATGTAGAATATTTTTATTTATACTCTTTTTATCGAATAATTTAAACCGATATTTGGGACTTTATTGTATCAAGTTAATAAAAAATAATAATTGCAGTGGAGGTTGCGGCTGTTTAATATACAGTGACTCACAAAATTAAAGTGCATGCATTTTATTAACCATGGTACGGGTTAGATCAACTGGAAAGCGAGATTTGGCATTAGAGCATTTAAAAAAGGGAATTTCCCAACGTATTATAGCTGAAATGATAAATCTAAGCTCTTCAACAGTTCAGCACATAATTGAACACTTTTTACATAAAAATTCTGTAGAAAATATAGGTCGAAAAGCTCCCAATTAAATTTTTAAAGTAAAAGAATCGAGATGGTTAGTAAACTAAGTTTGAAAAATACAACAACTAGCGCTCCAAAGTTGGAAGACGTGGACGAAAAAGACTTAGGAAAGACGTGTCATTCTGAAACCGCCCACAGATTATTGGGATAATCATATTTAAATGGAAAAATAGCTCTAAGTAACCCTTTTGTAAATTTAAAAAAAGGAATCAAAAGTTGCAGTTTTTGTTTTTGGAAATGAATTTAGAACACTACAAATAATAACTCTGTGTACTTTGTTTTGTTAATTTTGCCATATATTTTGAAATAAAAAACACTTTTCAAAAAATGTTTGCCTACATCAAATAAGCTATGAGCCACTGTATATTAACGGGACCAGAAGCTGATCAAGTCAGGAAAATTAAACAAAAAAATACAGGTCAGAGATATATTGAACTATAATACTTATCACTCAGTACCGGGAGTTAATAACACACCAGCACAAATTAACAAAACTTCAATTTTTTTTTAAAATGAAAGAACGAGTAGAATTCATCGCACAAATTGTTTTACCTTAACCCTTTTATGCTCATTGTTGCCAATAAGCAACATTGTTCATTTTAGATTATAAGTCCAGCTGTTGGAATTATTTTTGCGAACAATTTTTTTTAAATAATAGTTTAGTATGTTGTAAAAGCAAATAAAAAGAGGAATCATGTAATATAAACCATGGAATTGTTCAATTACTGGCTTTGTTTCTGTGTGACTACTTGTGTGGAAAAATATTCAGCAAACTAATGCGGGCATGAAGGGGTTAATATTAATTTTTGAATTTGAAACTAAATTTTTTTTATTATTATTTTTTTGTGTATATTTTTTATTAATAGTTTAATGCATAATTTTTTTATAAATGTAAATTGTGTGTTTAGGTGCTTGCATTATCACCTTTACATTCGTTTAAACTTCTCATGACTTCACGAGATTGACTCAGGAATCCACCCAAGCCCTTCTCATCATGACAAGCCTAAACAAACGTCTTCAGGTAACAGTTATTCACTGTTCCTGGTGCAACAATGTTGCATTTATAATACTTAACCTATTAGCAGTTAACTTTTGATGGATTTTTAATTTTTAATATATATATATATACTATTATTCAAATTGAGGATACATAAATTTATTTTTATTTTATTTTTATTTTTATTTTATTTTTAAATTGATTCAACCATGTATGCATGCAAAAGCCTCTTTGTCTAAAACACCAAACCATCATCTTGTTACCTTCAAATTCCCTTTCTCTATATTATAGATCTCACACATTAATCCACCTATAAGACATATACAAAGTACATACAAAAATTATGCAAATTGTACAAAATTTATAAAAATATGTAAAAAATATGCAAAGGATGTATGCAAAAAAACATGTAAAGTATGTAAAAATATGCAAAAAGGTATGTAAAATATTTAAGAACCCTATGTCCTCGTCCATATCTGATTATTCGTCCAAAATTAGTCATAAAATTAGGATATCCTACATATTGGTATAAACCAACAAAGTAACCTAAAGTCAACGGTTTCCATTGACGCGTTTCGTCCGGTAACCAACCGGACTCATCAGAATGAAATGAAAATTTTATGTCAGTATAGTCCACAATAAATAATTATTAAATAAATCAATTAAAATAAATAAAGAAATCAATTCAAAATTAATATATGCTAAATCTTTGTTGACACTCAACATATTAACAATTTAATAACATTATAACAACAATATATGTATATATATATATATCAACAATATATATAACAACAATATAATAATAATGCCTCAATCTTTATTACATTTCATTCTCATTTGTGTTTTTTATAATTTCAACCATATATATTATATCACACCATTATTCTATTATTCCTAAACATAGTTATGACTATAAATATTATCAAATAAATTAGTCCGATTTAATTCAACTATCTTCACCATATGATACATCTTACTTATGTCATACCTTTATTATCACAAATGTCAAACTCTATTAAAACCATGCAGGTATCAAAACCCCGTTTACATGTTGCTGCATATTTGTCACCTAAAAATTATTGTTTGCCTCACCCTATTAGTAAAACTGAAAATTGAAAATACTGAAAAACACCAACCGCGCTGCAACCGTTTACAAAGCAGACCACTCATTTTATTATTATTTTTGTTATATATCAATTCAGCCCATAACTCAGTCGTGCAGAACACATTCGGAATCCCGGCCAATAAAAGGATACATAGGTAGGTACACAGCAAATTCCATTATTATCATCTATCATCACCAATCAAAACAAACACAAACACATATACCAAGAAAAACACAAACCGAACAAACACATAAACCGAAAGAGTTCCACAAAATTTATACCTGTGCAGGCTAAGGTACAGCAAAAAACTATTTCTGTTTATGTTTGAATATATATGAGTGAAGTTTGATAAAAAATTTTTTCATTGAGATTCATTGAAAATTCTTTAAAAATTTTGTTGAGAAATTTAAATCATTGATCATAAACATTAAAATTGATTTCAGGATTTATAAGCCGTCCACTAGCCAATATTCTGCGCTTACCATTTCCTCTTCCATTGTTGTTTCGCGTAAGTACAATAACTTGTATTATTATATTCCATCATAATTGCTAATATACATGTATTTCCTCTTACAGAAATTATATTATCAAATCCGTGCACGAGATTCAGCAGTCAAAATTACATATCTTATAACATACCATCTTTATTCTATTTTTTATTTTTTATTTTTATTTTGCTTCCATTCTTTGTGTTATTATTGTATCTGGTTGTTAGTTCCTCGCTCTCATCCATTATTTGTTTATTCCTATATTAGTCCACTTTAAACCGATTGTATAATTGATTTTAATCCTCCCATAATATTCATCCTCCGTTCTTTTGCTATTTATTCATCCATCCCTTATTATTTGTTTTGTTCTTATTCATTCACTCATCTATTATTGTTGTTTTGTTATTCTATTTTTGATTGGTTCACTACTTCTTTCATTAGCTTTATTTTCATCCCCTTTTTTATTTATATATTGTCTCGATACATATACACATCCTCACATATTGTTATTTGTTGTCCTATAGGTATTCATTATCGTGTTATTCCTTTGCTATATTTCAACTAATTCTCATACTTTATTATTTGTATTCTGCCTCACTTCATTCTATTTCATTCTTGTGTGTATATATATATATTACATATTGCCATTTATCTGTTGTTCCATTTTGTTGTTGTTGTTTATGCTGTGTTTATTTATTAATTTAATAGCCTATTTTTCTTTATAACTTGAAAACATAGCATCACTTTTGGCAGGTACCGTGATTTTTGGGTTATATTAAACAGATTTGTTAGTGTGCGTGAGGTCAGTTATTTGAATTGTTGTGTATCTTAATTCCAAAAAACTAATATTTTATTCTTTCAGCCATTTTATTGTTCGTTACGGGTGAGGTATTGTTGTTGTTGTGATTAAATTCTCGCTATAATTTCTTAATTAATCAATATGAAAAGGATCTGTACTTCATCCGGCTCAAATAAGAAACCCCGCGTTTCATTTTCTTTATTGCCTATTGATTTAACACGCGAGCCTTCTATTGATTTGACTCACGAGTCTCCTTCATTTCTCCCTCGGCCTACTTCAGATTTAGCTCGTTATTTGTCCGTGCCTCCTTCCGTAGGGCTATATAATAATAATATACCCATACTTGAGCAATTTCGTTTTATATATACCGAAGTGGTGTTTGGTGGTTTTATGAATTTAAGCGGTTTATCAGTTCCCCAAGAGGTACAGATACTTTTAAGCTTCGGTCCTAAATATTCTCCTCCTGCCCTTCCTGACATTTCTTCCTATATGGTGGCCTTGGAGCGATATTACGATGGCTATGTTGAGCATGGAATGCTATTAGGCATGTGTGATCGGGTTGAGTTAGAGTCACATTATTCCTTGTTTGTGGATGCCATGTTAAAGCACCAGATTCCATCTTTGCATCATAGGATGCTGTCCCATATATACCAGGTGACACTGGCTTTCTTGAAGAGACATGATGATTTAATTATGGTTCAGGCTGATAAAGGTAAGACAACTATATTGATGTTTCGTTCTGATTATATTTCGAAGATGGACACTTGGCTCGCTTCCTATTTGTCTTCCGGTGCTTGTATTGAGTTTACTGGTGATAGAGATATATTGTTGAGACGAATGCTTGCATTGTATAAGAGGGTGGTTTTGCCTTTGCGTCATTTGTATGTTTTGAACCCTTCCATTTATCCCTCCAAGATACACAAAGATTTGCTTGTTAAATTGCAGGACCCACCTCAGATTTCTTATTTGTATGGTTGTATAAAGACCCACAAACCGGATTTTTCCATTCGTCCGATTTGCAGCCCTATTGATTGGTACATTGGCCCTTTGCATAAACTATGCACTCATTTTTTAACCGAAATTTTGGGGGATAGGCTGTCAACTCATAATCTTAAAAATATGGATGATTTGACCGGTCATCTTTTGGATCTAATCCCTATTCCTGATTATGTGTTTATAACCTTAGATATAAAAGAAATGTACCCTAAGACCCCTTTGGCACCTTTATGGCAGGTTCTAGAAAATTTAATGTCTTTCGACTGGTTTCAGGATCGTTGTCCTATAAGTATGGATCTGTTAAGGAAATTATTGGATTATATCCTACATCAGGCTAATTATTTCTCTTTCAACTCTGTTTGGTACCAGCAACTTGTGGGTCTGCCCCAAGGCGGCTCTGCTTCTGGTCTGCTGGCTACATTATTTCTCGATTCCAGGTTGGAAATATATTACAACCTCATTTTTTCTGCTCACCATGTTAAAGCCTGGTGGAAATTCGTTGATGATGTGCTGGTTTATATACCTAAGGCTTCTGTATTGGATTTTGTGTCAGCTTTCTCTCGTTGGACTGGTTATGAGGTGACTCATGAAGACGAATCATTAAATGATAGCTGTCATGGTTATCCGACCATATCCTATTTGGATTATAACATATCCCGTACACCTACCCAATTCTTAATATCACTATATTTGAAACCTACCGCATCTCATCGTATAATCCATTATACTACATATGGTAGTAAGAATTCAAAAAGAACTGCCTTATTGTATCATTTGCGTAGAGTGTTGTTCCGTAGTAGTGATGCCTATTTGTCTCGTGATATGAGTTTTTGTATACAGATGATAAAAAACAATGGCTATCCTCATAGTTACATAATATCAGAGTTGTCCGATTTGGTGAGGAGTTATGTCCAACAAACTTCTAGCAATAGACAACCTTATACTGCATGCCGGCATTCTATATTATCTCATTTTTTATTATCCTCCAAAAATGTTCCATTTCCTAGGTTATTATCGAAACAGTCTATGCCTCGCTTTTATTTACGAAGTATTGTGTATAGCTGCGAAGAGATTTCGTCCTTAATACAGAGCGCTTTTGGCACTTATGGAGTGCCTACATTCTCAAAATCCGAAACCTTGTTCACTAAATTGAGTATGTCCTTGCGGGACATTCATCATACTTTTAAATTATCAACCAAACATAGGATATTGTTAACCTCTTGTACCGCATGTGGTCTTGGTTTTATTTGTACAGGGAAAGGGAATGTGAAGCAGATATTAATTAACATAAGGGAGGATCCTGATTCCCCTATTAGTAAGCATTTTTCCGTTTCAGGTCATTCCAACTTATCATCCGGTGTGGAACTGCCTTATACTAAACAAATCTCTCAGGATGTACAAATTTCAATCTATAAGCAGATCTATACTTCCATGGGAATACATTTGGATGACAGATATAACTACAATACTATTTCTAGTTTTTTGGCCCTTGGATTGGACAGGAATAGGGATTAGATCCAAAAGATGACCAGTCAAATCATCCATATTTTTAAGATTATGAGTTGACAGCCTGTCCCCCAAAATTTCGGTTAAAAAATGAGTGCATAGTTTATGCAAAGGGCCAATGTACCAATCAATAGGGCTGCAAATCGGACGAATGGAAAAATCCGGTTTGTGGGTCTTTATACAACCATACAAATAAGAAATCTGAGGTGGGTCCTGCAATTTAACAAGCAAATCTTTGTGTATCTTGGAGGGATAAATGGAAGGGTTCAAAACATACAAATGTTGCAAAGGCAAAACCACCCTCTTATACAATGCAAGCATTCGTCTCAACAATATATCTCTATCACCAGTAAACTCAATACAAGCACCGGAAGACAAATAGGAAGCGAGCCAAGTGTCCATCTTCGAAATATAATCAGAACGAAACATCAATATAGTTGTCTTACCTTTATCAGCCTGAACCATAATTAAATCATCATGTTTCTTCAAGAAAGCCAGTGTCACCTGGTATATATGGGACAGCATCCTATGATGCAAAGATGGAATCTGGCGCTTTAACATGACATCCACAAACAAGGAATAATGTGACTCTAACTCAACCCGATCACACATGCCTAATAGCATTCCATGCTCAACATAGCCATCGTAATATCGCTCCAAGGCCACCATATAGGAAGAAATGTCAGGAAGGGGAGGAGGAGAATATTTAGGACCGAAGCTTAAAAGTATCTGTACCTCTTGGAAAACTGATAAACCGCTTAAATTCATAAAACCACCAAACACCACTTCGGGATATATAAAACGAAATTGACCAAGTATGGGTATATTATTATTATATAGCCCTACGGAAGGAGGCACGGACAAATAACGAGCTAAATCTGAAGTAGGCCGAGGGAGAAATGAAGGAGACTCGTGAGTCAAATCAATAGAAGGCTCGCGTGTTAAATCAATAGGCAATAAAGAAAATGAAACGCGGGGTTTCTTATTTGAGCCGGATGAAGTACAGATCCTTTTCATATTGATTAAATTAAGAAATTATAGCGAGAATTTAATCACAACAACAACAATACCTCACCCGTAACGAACAATAAAATGGCTGAAAGAATAAAATATTAGTTTTTTGGAATTAAGATACACAACAATTCAAATAACTGACCTCACGCACACTAATAAATCTGTTTAATATAACCCAAAAATCACGGTACCTGCCAAAAGTGATGCTATGTTTTCAAGTTATAAAGAAAAATAGGCTATTAAATTAATAAAGAAAACCCAGCATAAACAACAACAACAAAATGGAACAACAGATAAATGGCAATATATAATATATATATATACACACAAGAATGAAATAGAATGAAGTGAGGCAGAATACAAATAATAAAGTATGAGAATTAGTTGAAATATAGCAAAGGAATAACACGATAATGAATACCTATAGGACAACAAATAACAATATGTGAGGATGTGTATATGTATCGAGACAATATATAAATAAAAAAGGGGATGAAAATAAAGCTAATGAAAGAAGTAGTGAACCAATCAAAAAGAGAATAACAAAACAACAATAATAGATGAGTGAATGAATAAGAACAAAACAAATAATAAGGGATGGATGAATAAATAGCAAAAGAACGGAGGATGAATATTATGGGAGGATTAAAATCAATTATACAATCGGTTTAAAGTGGACTAATATAGGAATAAACAAATAATGGATGAGAGCGAGGAACTAACAACCAGATACAATAATAACACAAAGAATGGAAGCAAAATAAAAATAAAAAATAAAAAATAGAATAAAGATGGTATGTTATAAGATATGTAATTTTGACTGCTGAATCTCGTGCACGGATTTGATAATATAATTTCTGTAAGAGGAAATACATGTATATTAGCAATTATGATGGAATATAATAATACAAGTTATTGTACTTACGCGAAACAACAATGGAAGAGGAAATGGTAAGCGCAGAATATTGGCTAGTGGACGGCTTATAAATCCTGAAATCAGATTTAATGTTTATGATCAATGATTTAAATTTCTCAACAAAATTTTCAAAGAATTTTCAATGAATCTCAATGAAAAAATTTTTTATCAAACTTCACTCATATATATTCAAACATAAACAGAAATAGTTTTTTGCTGTACCTTAGCCTGCACAGGTATAAATTTTGTGGAACTCTTTCGGTTTATGTGTTTGTTCGGTTTGTGTTTTTCTTGGTATATGTGTTTGTGTTTTTCTTGGTATATGTGTTTGTGTTTGTTTTGATTGGTGATGATAGATGATAATAATGGAATTTGCTGTGTACCTACCTATGTATCCTTTTATTGGCCGGAATTCCGAAATGTGTTCTGCACGACTGAGTTATGGGCTGAATTGATATATAACAAAAATAATAATAAAATGAGTGGTCTGCTTTGTAAACGGTTGCAGCGCGGTTGGTGTTTTTCAGTATTTTCAATTTTCAGTTTTACTAATAGGGTGAGGCAAACAATAATTTTTAGGTGACAAATATGCAGCAACATGTAAACGGGGTTTTGATACCTGCATGGTTTTAATAGAGTTTGACATTTGTGATAATAAAGGTATGACATAAGTAAGATGTATCATATGGTGAAGATAGTTGAATTAAATCGGACTAATTTATTTGATAATATTTATAGTCATAACTATGTTTAGGAATAATAGAATAATGGTGTGATATAATATATATGGTTGAAATTATAAAAAACACAAATGAGAATGAAATGTAATAAAGATTGAGGCATTATTATTATATTGTTGTTATATATATTGTTGATATATATATATATACATATATTGTTGTTATAATGTTATTAAATTGTTAATATGTTGAGTGTCAACAAAGATTTAGCATATATTAATTTTGAATTGATTTCTTTATTTATTTTAATTGATTTATTTAATAATTATTTATTGTGGACTATACTGACATAAAATTTTCATTTCATTCTGATGAGTCCGGTTGGTTACCGGACGAAACGCGTCAATGGAAACCGTTGACTTTAGGTTACTTTGTTGGTTTATACCAATATGTAGGATATCCTAATTTTATGACTAATTTTGGACGAATAATCAGATATGGACGAGGACATAGGGTTCTTAAATATTTTACATACCTTTTTGCATATTTTTACATACTTTATATGTTTTTTTGCATACATCCTTTGCATATTTTTTACATATTTTTATAAATTTTGTACAATTTGCATAATTTTTGTATGTACTTTGTATATGTCTTATAGGTGGATTAATGTGTGAGATCTATAATATAGAGAAAGGGAATTTGAAGGTAACAAGATGATGGTTTGGTGTTTTAGACAAAGAGGCTTTTGCATGCATACATGGTTGAATCAATTTAAAAATAAAATAAAAATAAAAATAAAAATAAAATAAAAATAAAAATAAAAATAAATTTATGTATCCTCAATTTGAATAATAGTATATATATATATATTAAAAATTAAAAATCCATCAAAAGTTAACTGCTAATAGGTTAAGTATTATAAATGTAACATTGTTGCACCAGGAACAGTGAATAACTGTTACCTGAAGATGTTTGTTTAGGCTTGTCATGATGAGAAGGGCTTGGGTGGATTCCTGGATCAATCTCGTGAAGTCATGAGAAGTTTGAACGAATGTAAAGGTGACAATGCAAGCACTTAAACACACAATTTACATTTTTTAGTTTAACTTTAATTTTTTTTGAATTTTTTTTTTTTTTTTTTGATAAACGAATTTAAAGTTCTTTGTGCTATCTAAATGAAAAAAAAAAGAAAAAAAATTCGAAGGACAAATTAAATTATTTTATTTTTATAATTAGTAATTTTTTTTAAAAGAAATAAAAAACTAAGTTCAATATATTGTAAATAAGTTCCTCAAGTACATCAAGTGTAAATATGAATGATAAAATGACCATTTTTCCCCAATTCACTGAGATTGCTATCATTTACAACTGCATCACGTAAATGAATGTACTCTTCAGAAGGCAATTTTACTTCATTTAGTAGTATGTAGAGGAGTCTTTCACTTTCTATTTTTGCATACATGTCAACAATGTATTGACGAAATAATTGTCTGTATTTCAATATATGATTATCAGCATTCTGACGAATCATCGTTAGATATGCATAATAATTCATAGCACTGACTTTTTTGTTAATGTCCACATTAGTTGTAGGATTTCTCATATTAATATAAAAATAATATCCATCCACTCCTTGCCAAAATAGAATGGGATGTTGTAATGCATCATATGAACGATGCGTTTCTGATACTTGCTGGCCGTCAACACATTTCTACGATGAAGAATTATATCGCGAGAATTAAATTCTTCACCAACTTTGACAATTGTCACTTCATCAATCGTTGGTGCGTTGAATAGTTTTCGATGCTGACCAAGAGGTGTTTTATCTGCCTTTATAATTACTTTGTAATTGTCAGATTGTATTTGTTCAATGGTGGTTTTAAATAATTTAATTAATTCATTATGTTGTTCAAATAAATTTTGTAATTCAGCGACAATCTCTCGTTTAGTGCTCATATTCAGTTGACACCGTCTGTTGATTTATTTGTCAGTATTTTCCATAAAATATGTCTGAAGATATTTGGCAAGGGTAGTAGTGATCCAGCATAGTAATAAATTTGCCCTTGTAATTTAAATGTTGGTATATAATTTGCGGTAACGATATTCGTTGCTTCGAACGATGTCATTTAGAAGCATGAATTGAACTTGTGTATATTTTTCACAAATTTTTTGATTGACTTGTTTCACCTGATACTAAAGTTAATAATGGTTCAGGTGGTGAACGCAAGTCTGGTAACTTTACTTTTCGAGCAAAAGCAGTGTGAACTCGATCTCTTTCTTGCTTACTTTTTCTCTGTTCACTTGTTTCTGAAACTCGATCTTCTGTTCTCCTTTTTGCTTGATTTGTAGTTCGACCAATGGCACTTCGCTTTGGTGGCATAATTGTGGTGTTAAATAAAACGTATTTCCAATTATTTTCTTTAGCTGTAAATTTTTTAATGTAACCATGGTAACCATTAATATACTTTTACTAAAATATTACTAATTAAATGCACCTGGAACCCTAACTCCGATTTTAATAAAAATTTGCAAAAACCTTCCCGGGGATATACCTAATAATTTCCCAAATTTTCACGGTGATTGGATGTATAGTTTTTAAATCCATCGAGACGGATAATGGAATCGAACTATCGAACCAAATCGGCCCATTTTGAATTTGTCGTCATATGTAGTTTCGTCTGCACCTGCGAAAGGACGCCGAAATTATTAGTAAAAAATATTGATGAATTGTTTGAATGAAATACCGATGAAGTCTCGAACTGATGCTCCATTTTGAAATCTTTTCAACAAAGAAATTATCTTGTCTTCTGCTGCGTACATTTGTTCTTATAATGATAATAATGTTTAATAATAATTCTATATTTTATATTACAAAGTTCTCAAAACTTCAGTGTAAACAATATTTTTCGTATACACCCTTTCATCATTAGCCAAATGATATACACCCTTTCATCATTACTGACATAAAATTTAAGCCCTTCAAATGATCTAACTCAACGGGCTGCAACTTAAATTTGACCATGCGAAAAAACAGGTCTCCTCAACAATATTCTAACTCCATCAAATCTCTGCCCTTGGGATTTGTTAATTATGATAGCAAATGCGCTGATGACTGAAAACTGTTTTCTTTAAAAATTAAATGGCATTGCAGTCCCTGAATACGTGAAGTGTATGCGTGGAATCAAAATATGTTTTCCGCGAGCAACTCAAGTAAGCACAATCTATTGTGTTATTATGCATTGTTTTGACTGGCATTCTCGTCCCATTCACTTAAGCTTGGTTCGTATTTAAATTTCGAATTAACAAAACTATCGTACTAATTTTGAGCTCCAACTTATGTGGTGACAAGCCACTTACAATCAGCGATGTCGTTCAAAAATTCTACTGGATAAGTTGCCCACCTCGCTGTTATCCTCACAAATAATTGTGTCAAAACTGTAACAATGCGATTCAATACATCGTTATTTATAAGTCCATAATCTTCATTAATTAGAGCTAACACAACTAACTTCAACATTTTATCTTATAAAATGGTTTCATTAATATCTCCAAAAATGTCTTGTACTATGTTATATTCAACATCTATCAAATTTACTGGAATTTCAACTAAATCTTAACCAAACGGTCTGAAATTAGATTCACCAATTCACCATTGCCAATTCTCTTTAGAAATTAAACGAATTCTAGCTCTTCGGGGAGTGCTCTCATATTTTGAGTTAACGTTATATGATTGAAAAACGGGAATGCTGCCCAATTCGTAATACAATTTGCAATCATTATTAATCGCGATGCATGAGGAGTAACGGGAAATATTTGTCTAAAATCTCCACATAATAATATAGTTTTTTTTTGTGAATCATCGCATAAGTCTTTCAACAACGTATCAATACATTCCATCATTTGTAACGGACACATCGAAATTTCATCAATAATGAATAATGCCGCCAAATTAACAAATCTGGCATAATTACTATTTTTTTTATATTTGGTACTGTATTTTCCATCAGATTTATGGGCAGTTTAAAAACATTATGGAGTGTCTTTCCACCAATCAATAATGTGGAAGCAACTCCACTAAATGCACACAAAATACATCGAAGATTAAGGGAATTCCATTTACGAATTATAGCCGTTTGTGTGTAACTTGGGCTGTCAAATAAATCACATTTGATCCTGTGTCGTGATACTGAACTTCACGAATAACTTTATCAATAGCATAACGCTGTTCATTATTTGCGCTATCACAAAGCTCATTAAATAAAAATTCTTCTTCAAAAGGATTAAAAATATTGAGATCAGCAAATTCTGGCATTATTATAGGTGTAGGCAAACCAAGTGACGTACATGTAACATTATGTGTTAACAAAACATCCTCGATTTCCAATAATGCTCTATTGAAAGAAACATCTACACTACAATCATCCCTAAGGAAATCTTCGCTTGAATTACCTCTAAATTCCACCCAAAGCACTAGTACATTTGCTGGAATATTTAAGGCACAAATAATCGCAAACAAATTACGCATTTGTTTTGCTGAACTACATGTCTTAGCTTCATTGAGACAAACGCTCCCCTCATTATCGTTGGACGCAATTTCTCTGGCATGACATGCTTCGATAAATGTGCTATTAATAATTCCATTGTATGTACGCACATCTTTATATGATTTTGGCCCTTTTACATGCAACAAAAGTAATCTTAAATGGAATAGTTCAACTTTTTTGGGAGACGTCATATACATCCGAGTAATAATTTTTTTCTCCTCCTCGTTGTCTTTTATGCCAAGATATTTTACTATCAATCCAACCTTAATGCAATGGAATTTCTGTGTACGTATATTGATTAGCAGATGGATCACTTTCATTCAATTGAAATAAAGCTAATAGCCTCGTAAGCTTAGAATTTTCTACTGCTTGCCGTTCTTGCCCTTCGCGAAATATAATATTTTGTCTTTGTGGCAAATGAATGTTAAGAAGAATTATAATATGAGACGAAAATGCATTGGAAATTCATATGTCCGCCATATAGCTTCAGTTGAACTCACATATTGATCATTCAAAAAATTTTTAACTTCATCTGCTTCAACTTGTACTTGCTGTATGTTACAGTTGCACTATCAAAACCCTTATCTACATACTTATATATATATTTAATACTTTTGACGGAAATGCACATGATTGTATGGAACGACATAACTATTATCTAAAGACTTTCCTCTAACATCAACGGACACAATATTGTCGCGTCGTCTATATAACGGATAACCATTAACTGATTCTTTCGTTGATTGTACAAAATCCTTTGGAAATTGTTTTGAACATTTTCCATCTTACATAAATACAGAGTTTGGATTCAAAACACCGCATCGATCGTGCATCATGTGTTTGACAATACATTCATGTAATTTTGTCTGCAAATTTTTATCCGAAATCTCTGCACAAACAATTTTATCAACATCAGCCTGCCTGACAATTTTCACATGAAGTCGTCAAAATGCGCGCATGAGGCAAACCTCTTTTTTGAAATTCGATTGTATATATAAGAGCCTCAATTTTGCCAAAAACATCTTTATTCCAAATGTCAGATATGAGTTCTTTTAACTACGATTTAAATACACGCACAACTATTTCAGGCCTAAAATAAAATGATTCATTAGGATCAATATTATTTACAACCTCCGGCCAATTCGCATTGCAAGTCATTGTAACAAAAAGGGATGGCTTGCCGAAGTGCTGAACAATTGACATTGCATCTAAGTAATTTTGATACATGTTTCTTGGAGACCCATTGAGAATGAAGGCAAAATCACTTTACGACTTAAGCTAACATCTCCTGCTTTATCCGTTTGCAAATATGTAATATTGTAATATTGTTATACACATCTGCCCTCAAATTCACTTGATTATGTCTTATTAAATGTAGTCGACATCCTTCTATTCTTACATACACATCAACAATGTACTGCTAAAATAGGTTTTGCGATATATGCAAAAAGCTAAATTGATCCCTTATTGCAAATCTGAAATATGGAAATTGTACTTTACTTCGAATCTGCCTACCATTAGAATTATGTTGTACG